AGAATCTCTCCAGACCCTTCAGATTCCCAGCTCCATGTTGGTGCTTCTCTTCAGTTCACCACACTCATTTTCTATAGGGTTCAGCTCAGGGAACTGGAATGGCCATAGCAGAAGCTTGGTTTTGTGCCCAGTGACCCATTTTTGTGCTGATTTTAAGGTTTGTTTTTGGATTATTGTCCGGTTGGAAGATTGGGCACAGCACAGGGAGTGCTGACTGACAGCGCTTGCAAGTCACCTACTCGAATCACCGATGCCAAGGCCAAAAGCAGAGCAGTTTTGTGCGACATGGGCCGCAGGCCAGCCGTTTGAAGCGGCTTAAACGGAGGGCCCTTGAAGGCCCTCAGGACTACAGTATAGACATGCCCCATGTCTGCACAGGTCTAGGGCGTGGCGGGTTCAGTCTCCGAGCTCCCCTTAGAAACTTGACGACCAGGTCATTTCTACCGATTGAGCTGCCAGCCACGAGAGAATGATTCGCCGCGATGGCTGCCACATAAACCTTGAGTGTGGAAGGGGTATGGCCCTTGTCCAACAACTCCTGAAGGAAGGTTAGCACGTGGGATATGTCACAAGAATATGGATCCAGACTTCGTGCTGAACAGCAGTCACAGAAGACTCGCCATTTAAGGGTGTAAAGACGTCTTGTAGACGGAGCTCTAGCCTCTAGAATGGTATTAGTGACTCTCGCTGGGAGCTGGCTAGACTCTCGTTGAGGGGCCAAACATGAAGACTCCACAGCTGCGGCTTCGCTTACGATAGAGGGTCTCTCCTGTGGTATTGGCCACGGGGCTGCAGACAGCAGCTGAATCAGATCTGGGAACCAAGTTTGTTTTTTCCAGAGTGGGGCCACTAGGATGAGTGAGCATTAATTCATTTATATAGAAGTTTCATAGGAATGAACTGAAAACGCTCGCTCTGTTCTGCGCCAGTGGACACGCACTATTGGCCACCATTTAATTCCTGTCTGTAATGCAGCTCACCTTCACCGAATATGTTGATGACAGCAAGGGTTGATGTTTCTTGCGCAGGTCCGTTTTTAACATACCTTGACTGTTGCACAGTCTGACATTAATGACAGCTGAGATCCTACAGTGTGACATGAGGATCATGTTCTTGGAGTCTGACAAGCAACAATCATAAAGGACTAGGCCTATTATAAATTGCACAGTGTTTGCCCAGTTTTAGGATGTCCATCCCAATGTTACTAGAGATTACGGCAGTTTGGATCCTGCCTCACTTGTGAAGACTTCGGATGATGCCAATATTTTCAAAGACTTCAGATGACAGCAACTATAGAAATACATACAAAACTGCCAGATATTATGTATTGTAATCATTGCCTTAAAGCGTAAGTTGGCTTATTTTCAACCCGCTTTGTATCGCTAGATTCGCTACTATGATGGTGATATATGTGAACAATGTTTACTCTTTCTCTGAGTTACTTATACTGAGATATGCCCATTTATTTGCCAGATGACGCAAAACAAATTTATGCAAATTTACCCTTCAATAATGTTTTTTCTAACTAAACTTTTTTTTTTTTTTTATCTTACCGCTATTTATGGCCAGAAGATGCACCCCAGTGAGTCACAGTCACCTCTGCATGTTTAAAGGATATTTTGTGATTGTAACCTTGAAACATGCATTTTCTGTAAACCTGCTTTGAAATGATATGTATTGTGAAAAGCGCTGTACCCTTACAACAGTTAACCATGGTTTTACTATGGTAGAACTCTAGTAATCATGACCGTATTAATCATGTTTTTTTTTCCAAACCACGGTTTTGATATCATGGTTCTATTACAGTAATATTATATTAATGCTGGAGTAAAACTGTGGTAACCATAGTTTTTGAAACCATAGTTTGTAGTTACTATGGTACTACTATGATGTAGTAAGACCAGGGTTATATATTTACTGTGGATTACTACAACAATCATAGTTAAACCATGGTTATTGTAGTAAAGCGCAAACGTTTTGCGAGAGAACACAAAAGATTTGGAAAAAAATAAAAAATAATTCCTCCCACCACCATGGCACTTTATGGGCTCCGTAGAAATGTACGTCTCACATGTGGAATTATTAAATAATAACCCCAACCCCATCTTACCCCAAGGGTCTAATTTTATCTTTTCACTTCAAAATAAATATTTTTTTACTCAACAAATCTAAAAACATTAATGTGTCCATAAATCTCTCAGACACAAACTTGATATTCAACATAAAATCACTAATTTTCCAGAGAAAATTACTATCACTATTTTCCAGAGATCACTTATCCTCAAAACAGTTTTTGACTGACAATCTGACAAAAGTTGATATTCAGATGAAAAAATAAATACATAAAATAAAATGAGCCATTCATCACGTGTTAAGATTCTGTGCCATTTATGGTAAAGAAATAATAAAAAAAAAAGCTACAGGGAGTCATCTTGCCCCATCTCATCCTATGTTACAGAGAAAACAGCAAACACACATCCAAAATCCCAAAGTCAATGGATTTATTTCCGTTGCACTGAAGTTGTTCACAGTATTGTTACAAGGGGATACATTAGCGGCAATTCTATTTTTCCCGCTCGGTATTAATCAAATCCGTGATGCATTACAATCCAGCTTTGCTCGTTTTTTCTCCCGAAGTACAAAATAGGAAGGACAACAATGTGTATTGCTTAGATTACATCTCCGCTTATTCACCACGCTGTATGTTCCCATAAGTGAGCACGTGTTATGAAATCCCAGACCATGATGCAGCAGAGCATGTGGCCAGATAGCGTTCAGCGTTAAGGGAGATGAGAGAAAAACGACCAACTGAAAATGAAGGCATGATAACGGGGGAAACAAGTCGATGATGGAAAAAGGGTGAAGGGGAGGAGAAATTTAACATCCACAACATCATGCAAATTAATTAAAGCTGAATGTCGGACATGCAATACGAGAGAGTCAGGAGCAGCAGGATCCCCTTGATGGTTTTAAGAAAGTCGTTTGTCCAAAGTTATCTATTTACAACATGTGATTTGAGCTCATCCACCTGTTTTACACGCACAATGAGATGAGTGACAAGTATCAATACTTCATTATCCCTCACCCCCCACCCTAAAGAGGCTAGTCTACATTCTTAAATTACCAGTAAATAATTTAACATATACTACAAGCTCTTTAATCTGTTCAAAGCCAGGAAAGAAAGAGTGCTTCATTCACAAAATCGGATAAGTGTTATCATACACAAAACACAAAATCCTTCAAACAATCTGATGAGTCGCCCTGATGCAAACAATAAAATCTCCACCACCGGTTTTGTATATATAAATATTCCCCAGCTGAATAAATTAAAAAAAGACAAAAACACATAAATAAGTTACAAAAAAGGGTAAAAGGTCTCTGAATCCTGCAGATGTTTCTCAATAAAAAGTAAACACAAAATAAATACAAATTGAAAATTGACATCACGAGTAACCCTCGAATACATTAAGCATAATCATCATTCAAAACGAACATTTCATGAACGCTACATGAGAGAAAAAAAAAAAACAGAATGTGGCAACACAATTCATCTAAGCATTGTCACTGATAGACATTTGTTACATAAGGAATATTTTCAGTCTGTACAACAGAATAGATCATTTACTGTGAGGCCCCCCCC